CCCCAAAACCCCAAAACCCCGGGGATGTAAAATAACTATTATCGGGAATAAAATGAAAAAAAATATTGATTATAAATAAATTACAAAAATGAGCATCAGGTAATATAACACACTTGCTAATACACAGTTAAATCAATAAATAAACTCACCGTCAAAAGTTAAGTCCTCTGTTAATTTTCAATTAAGAGACAACTCAAGAGGCTCGAGATTAGATATAATTTAATAGAGTAATGTACTAGGAGATGAGATGGATACACTTGGAGAGATGATAAATAAAAGAAAAGTCTTATTGAAGCCTTAGAAGTAAAATCCAGCAATAACTCTGACAAATCCATCACCTAATAATGACCTAAACTTTACTACAAAGCATGATAGTGTTATTGGTATGAGTTTTAATCCTTCATTTGAGAAATCACCTCTCTAAACTTAAATTCAAAGTAAAACAATATTACCTTCACTTGACCAGGCTGCAAATTCAAATATCCAATAGAATAACGTGGAAGAATTGCACATGAATCTAAATTTCAATCAAAATGAATAGAAGCACAATGAAAGTTATAAATAACGAAGAGTAAAAGTTAAAAATCTTAAAATTCCAAGAATAAATGAATATTAGAGACGAAAGCAGGAATGAAAGGCAAATATGAAAAAGAGAAATAAAAACATAGTAAATCTCAAAAGAATATTGTCCTAGTATTATAAGAGAAAAGAAAAAAAAGATAGTTCCTCATCACTAGACACCTATATTGTGTAATAAAACAATGAATAACAGAACCAGTAATAAAATTTATCTTAAAATTAACAAGAATAAGATACCTTGAAACCAAAAGAATTTTCATCATTTATGAATAGCTCAAGTATTATTGACTTGAACAAATCAGAAAATAAAACTGAGATGGAATTTGAAGATACTTAGCAAGAATTTCTAATCTTATAGTAGAAAAATATTCAGCCTATAAAGCCTAAGAGAGTAAAAAAGAAAAAAATGACGAATGATTAGGCACTTTTAAAGCTAATTTATGGTGATGATTATGAAGAACATATGAGAAATAACGAAGAGAAAGAAATTAAGAAGATGAAATTCTTATAAAGTAAAGAAATGGCACAAGTTAGGGAGTTGATGGAGTCTGTCAACAATTAAAAAAGACGATTGAAATTGCTAGATTTTGTGCTTTTGCTGATATCTATTTTGAACATGATAATAGCATATTTGGAAAATGTTTAGAAATTTTCGAGTGAAATAAAGCCATTGATAAAAACAGCATCAAGCTACAGAACTGATTATGGAGGATCATTTGGTGTTGACAATAGGGCATTTTGTGTTGGAATGAGATATTTAAACATCCTAGTCTGCTTTATCTTGGACATAGGTATCTGCTTCAGATATAGTCTTAACCTTAGAATTCTTAAAATACAGAAACTCCGACATCCAAAAGATAACTTATTTTCAAATAAAAAGGAGTTAGTTTGGCTTCTAACTGAACTTAGCCTTTGTTCTTTATGCATTCCGCCTAACTTAGATCTTGATATTAAGGATTCGATGTTAAATGGTTCTTATATTTATGGCATTGATGGAATTATCTTGCTCTTGACTATGTGTAAAAGTTATTTATTAGTAAGAGTATATATTGGTCTCTCAGTTTTTTCAACTAACGAGTATAATAAAGTACTTTATAATATTCATAAGTTCCATCCTAACAATTTATTCTGTATCAGATCTGATATCAAGTATATTCCTTTCATTATTTTAGCTGTTGGCATGTAATTACTAATTATTTATACAGGTTTATTCCTATTATATTCTGAAAGGTCATTTGAGCCTTTTGATTTGACAAAGAAAACAAGTTTAAAGCAGTCTAAGATTGCAGAATAATTTGAAAGTCTCACTGAAACACTATGGCTGGCGATAGTGTCGATAATTACAGTTGGATACGGTGACATCTTCCCACAAACTCATCTTGGTAGATTTTTCATAGTCATGGCTTATATATTTGGATAAGTATTACTAAGTATTCTCATTGTGGCAATGATAGATAAATTTAGGTTGCAGTCTAAGGAACTCAGAGCTTACTTTAATCTTAAAATAGAATAAAAGTAAAGAGGAGTGTAAGATACTGCTGCAAATATCATATCTATGAGTCTGAAACTTAGAAAGCTTTAAAGATTTTTCAAAGATAAGAAAAGTTACTCGAAGAGATAAAAAATTTATTCTATGATTAAAGATGAAACATCTCGTATGAGAATGCTAAAGATGTAAGTAATTATCGTTATTAAGCAATTTTTATTAGTGCCTAGGAATAAGAAGAAGTTTTGATTTCTTAGTACATATTTAGAATGAAATAATCTGCAAAAGAGAAGCATTAAGAAGTAATAGATAACCTAACTAGAGCCTATGATATTTACTCTAAATAAAAACAGTTAATGGTAATATAATCGATTTTCATATTATTAGAAAAGGAAAAAGGAGGCTAAATCTAAGTTAGATTAGCTTGAGGAGATGCAAGCTAAATTCTTAGAGTTTTTTATTGACATTAATAATCAAAGTTACAATATTAGAAAGAATTATAAGCTATCAATATGATCCTGATATTAATTTTAATTATATACAACCAAAATATTAAATTCTAATATCTTACATTTAAATTATTCTTATGATATTTTAGATAATGCCTTTAAGGGGTTTTGGGGTTTTGGGG